TTAGGGCTTGGCGGCGGCTTCGTATCGTAAAACGCGATGAATTCTTCTCTCTGATTTTTTTCTCCCCGAAACACAATATATAGAGTTGGAGTTGGAGTCGGAGGAGCTCCAGGGGGCCCACGAGGTAGGGGGCGCGCCCTAGGGGGGCAGGCGCGCCCCCACCCCTCATGGACAGGTGGTGGGCCCCATGGCCTTTATCTTTTGCAGGTATTTTTTGTATTTTCCAAAAAGCTGCTCCGTGAAGTTTCAGGTCATTCCGAGAACGTTTGTTTCTGCACATAAATAACACCATGATAATTCTGCTGAAAACAACGTCAGTCCGGGTTAGTTCCATTCAAATCACGCAAGTTAGAGTCCAAAACAAGGGCAAAAGTTTTTGGAAAAGTATATACGACGGAGACGTATCACATGTCATGATGAAATTGGGTGAACTGTTCAAACGTTGCCGCTACTCCATGCTCATGCACAACATTCTCACCCTGAAATTGAAACCCTTGATAGTACAGACGTTCCGGACACTCGTCTTCTACGATCATATTGTGCATGATCACACAAGCAGTCATCACCTCCCAAGTTTCTGCGTGCTGCAGGTATTAGCAGGATACCAAATGATGCCCCATCAAGATTGCAAAACACCAAAGGCACGCTCGACATCCTTCCTAGCACTCTCTTGCTCTTGGGCAAATCTTTTCCTCTTCTCTCCGACAGGGTTGGGTATTGTCTTGACAATAGTGGTCCACTGAGGATAGATACCGTCACTCAGGTAGTATCCTTTGTCATAGTTGTGGCCATTGACAGTAAAGTTCACCGATGGGCTGTTGCCTTTGGTAAGCCTAGCAAACACCGGCGAGCACTGAAGCACATTGATATCATTGCGTGATCCAGCCATGCCAAAGAAAGAGTGCCAAATCCAGATATCTTGAGACGCCACGGCCTCTAGTATGACAATGCAAGCCCTGACATGGCCCTTATACTGCCCTTGCCAAGCAGAAGGGCAGTTCTTCCACTCCTGGTGCATGTAGTCTATGCTGCCAAGCATCCCTAGGAAGCCCCTGCTGGCATTCATCGCCAACAAACGGGTTGTATCTTCAGCTGTCGGCTCTCTCAAGTACTCACGGCCAAACACAGCAATAACAGCTTTGCAGAACTTATACATGTACTCTAGGCATACGGCCAAACACAGCAATAACAGCTTTGCAGAACTTATACAGGGACTCTAGGCATGTAGATGAAGGAAATATGCCCTAGAGGCAATAATAAAGTTGTTATTTATATTTCCTTGTATCATGATAAATGTTTATTATTCATGCTAGAATTGTATTAACCGGAAACTTAGTACATGTGTGAATACATAGACAGACAGAGTGTCCCTAGTATGCCTCTACTTGACTAGCTCGTTAATCAAATATGGTTAAGTTTCCTAGCCATAGACATGTGTTGTCATTTGATGAACGGGATCACATCATTAGAGAATGATGTGATGAACAAGACCCATCCGTTAGCTTAGCACTATGATTTATTGTTATTGCTTTCTTCATGACTTATACATGTTCCTATAACTATGAGATTATGCAACTCCCGAATACCGGATGAACACCTTGTGTGCTATCAAACGTCACAATGTAACTGGATGATTATAAAGATGCTCTACAGGTGTCTCCGATGGTGTTTGTTGAGTTGGCATAGATCAAGATTAGGATTTGTCACTCCGATTGTCGGAGAGGTGTCTCTGGGCCCTCTCGGTAATACACATCACTATAAGCCATGCAAGTAATATGACTAATGAGTTAGTTGTGGGATGATGCATTACGGAACAAGTAAAGAGACTTGCTGGTAACGAGATTGAACTAGGTACGATGATACCGACGATCGAATCTCGGGCAAGTAACATACCGATGACAAAGGGAACAACGTATGTTGTTATGCGGTTTGACCGATAAAGATCTTCGTAGAATATGTAGGAACTAATATGAGCATCCAGGTTCCGCTATTGGTTATTGACCGGAGATGTATCTCGGTCATGTCTACATAGTTCTCTCCCCTTCCTCCTTCCTTCCCCTCCTTGTACGTAATGGGCCAGGCTCTGAGTTTTGTACGTTGTGTGGGGCTCGTGAAGATTCTGATCATATTATTTTCCGTTGCCCTCTGGCTAGCTTGTTTTGGAGTTGCACCTCATCGTGGGTGGGTGTGTATTGGGCCCCTTCATCGTTCAATGATCTTAGGCCTTTGACAGCATAAACATCTGTTTTGGTTTGTTTTGGGGCCATGTGTTCGGTCCTATGGACTATCATGAACAAGTTTACCATTGAGCACTGCTTTCCAGTCAAGTCGCCTAGCTGCATTTTCAAAATGTCAATTCTTTTGCGGCAGTGGAAATCATTGACTAAGGAGGGCGATAAGGATGTCGCGGAGCTGCTGGTCTGCCGTATAAGGGCTACGGCGAACTCTATCTCGAGTGGGGATCAAGCTCAACATACCTAGGAGGGTCGCGGTGTTCTGCTTATTCTTTTTTGTTGTCTCATATGTTAGTTGTTCTGTGCCCTAAACTCCCGTTGGCGGTTGTCCCCTCTGTACTGACTACGTTAACTTGCCTAGCTGGTTGTTTATGTGGGTTGTATGAACCTTATGTTTGGTTTCTGGTGGCTTTATTAATATAAAGTCGGGTGTATGTCTTTTATCTATGAACATCAGGATTTGAAACTTAGTGCATAAAATTGTCCATAACTATTTTAGTACAATATGAAGAGGTGGTTCTCTTTTTTCATTTGTCTCGGACATCTCCTATTCGTGTATAACAATTATGGGTACCGCGAGCACCTTGTCCAGTAACGATGGAATTATTGGGTCCAGTGGTTATGAACTTTCCATGTCTTAATTTTTTGGTGCACTAAATAGATTGGATTATCTATTCCACCTATCACAAATGTTTGAGGAAAAAACAGAGGTGCCATCCAACCATTTTTGTAAGGATTTGACATCTAAAGTCCATAATATAGAACATATATAATCCAGTGAGACAATGCTAAACAATATTTATAAAAAAAGGATAATGAGAAGTCCACAGATATTTTCTTCAACTATTTTTGCTCTTGATGATTGTGATGATACACCAGCAATTTATGCTACACGTACTTAACATTTTTATACTATTATACAGCGGTGGGGCAAGTTTACTTCTGTCTTTTTTGAAGACAAGTTTTAGTAGTTTATTTAAATTTTGTAGGTGATTTTGTTGGAGCATATGCACCATATAACCACACAAGCATTTCAATACTATAAATAGTCACATGTCAATACACAACCCTCGCGCCACCATCAATAATTGTCACTTTTTACTATAAGTAGACGTATGAGATCATTCTCATAAAGAAGGTGAATAACTGGATTTGAATAACTAGAGGATTTCAAATACTGGGGTGATTGACTGGAGTTGTAAATTTGTATGTTCTTAGGAAAACTACTGATAAAATATCTACTGCTTGGATGCACACAAAATTTGCACCCAATCCAAGCAGAGACTAAGGGGTTAAGCATTGCCATTTTAAAATATTTGGGGGTTTAAGTGAATGGTTATGATTTTCATATAGTTAATCTACCTTCTTTCTTTTCGTACAAGAACTCCTACACAAATTGTAATGTTTTCATACCACTAGTAAGATGCCCGTGCATTGCACGTAACACCGAAATGCATTGATCCGGTTCATCTCATGTTTAACAAATATTGATAGGTTTCTTCAGACATTCATTCTTCTCTAGAGCTCACATGCATCGGGGTTACATAGTAAATGCAGGGAAAATAGATAAAAAATATCTTTTGCAAACAAAAGCGTTCAAGTGTTCAACCTGCATCAAAACTTCATGAAGAAATAACACTTATTGTGCTTTGTAAAAAAATGATCTTTAAAAATATTTTTCAAGTATAGATTTTGTTTATTTTTTCTAGACCGCCATGAATGTAACTCAGGATGACTTGAAAGGGGGCGAAGGAGATGGCGAGGAGGATGGAGTCATGGTGGTGGTCGGCAATGCGGCCTAAGAGAAGGCATGAGAGGCGTTGAGGGCAGACGACACCAGAGCAGCGACCTCTCTAGATCCTTCTTATTTTTTCATGAGATGGCTAGACGAGCTGAGAGGCAAGGGGTTATCTACAAACAAGGAGTGGGGTGTGGGGTCTTTTTGCAAAACTGATATAGTTTGTCTTAGATGCGTTGGATGCAAATCGAACAGTTGTAAATGAAGGATGACAGACATACTATCATCATCATCTCATCTTTTTATAGGAGTAGAGATAAAAAAAAGAAATGTGATTCTTTTAAAAAAATGATAGCATAATTCATCTATTTTAGACAGTTTGATTTTAGCAAACCGAATGGTAGATTTGGCACTTAACTTTTCATGACGCCTAGTCTATATAGACAGACTTTATATCCTATCGATCCTAGACCAGATTGGCTTGGTTAAGCACCAAAAGTTTGGTGCAACAACCAATTGGGGAACAAGCAGAAGCAAAAAGGTAGAGTTAGTGGAAACTGAAGCATCACAACCAATGCAACCTATGCCTTCAATAGCTTTGCTTGAACCGAAAGCAATTTGCAATGCAGAAATAGTCAGTACTATGGAATTTTTGAGGAAAACGAAAGGCGTTGCTTCCCATGGCGAGTTTTCCACACAAGTGGTCGTTACAAAATGAGTCCACAAATTTACAAGAAACAAATGGAGGATCATTTCGTTTGTGAAAAAATCATCAATATTTTGAGGATTTAATTTATGGCAGCATCAGGAGTACATCTGATGGAAATCGTCCAGTCTTTTCCTCCCCGTTCGACATTTCTTCAGCTCCTCTGTTCCTTGCGGATAACATTAACGAAACGTGCGTCTACTCTGTGACAGATACTATAATCAAGTATACTTAGGACGAGCGAACAATCATGAAAGTACAACACCGAACCAAAATGCTGGAAGTCCAAACTCCAGAGCACGTACGTCCGGTACGGGACTGCTTAGAACACTCTGGGCTTGGCGACGATGGTGGAGTGCTTGAGGATGTGGAGGCTGAACTGGCCACCCTTCTCAGTCGTGTCAAGCTTGTCCTGGCCGGGCGGCGGCGTGAGCACGAAGTTCTGGACGAGGCGGCCGATGGTGATGCCGAGGATGGGCAGCGCGAGGATGATGCCGGGGCAGCTCCGGCGGCCGACGCCGAAGGGCAGGTACCTGAAGTCGTTGCCGTTGGCCTCCACGTGCTTCTCCTCCTCCAGGAAGCGCTCCGGCCGGAACTCGTCGGGCCGCTTCCACTGCTCGGGGTTGTTGGCGAGGAACCAGGCGTTGACGAGGATCTTGCTCTCGGCGGGGATGTTGTAGCCGGCGAGCTTGGCGTCGTGGAGGTTCATGTGGGGCACCAGCAGCGGGATGGCCATGCGCAGCCGCAGCGTCTCCTTGATCACCGCCTGCAGGTAGGGGAGCTTGTGCGTGTCGGGCTCCGTGATCTGGTGCCCGACGCCCAGCACCGCGTCCATCTCGTCCCGCAGCTTCTGCTGGATCTCCGGGTGGTTCACCAGCTCCGCCAGCCCCCACTCGATCGACCACAGCGTCGTCTCGATCGCTGCATGGTTCACAGGCAACACGTCAGAGATCATTTTCAACAGCCGATCAATTCAACACTCATAGCACGACACAGTTTCACGGACATGGTGGTGCATTGCCGTCGGTCTGACCGTCCTCCACGAGGGCGGCCCCCTGGAAGGGATGGGGCCAAATCCACGAGGGCCAATCGAAGACCACTCTGGGAGAGTGGTGCCTGCTAGCTGTTCCCCGATAGATAGATAATTGGTGGCACTACTGCTGAAGAAGCGACTGGTACAGTACAGGGTTTGGTGCTGGTGCTATTTAGGTTGGTGTAGTAAGTTCCGGAGAAAAAAAGGCCGGTGTAGTTTGGAACGCCGAATTGAGGTTAGGCGAGTATTTTTGACCAGGTGTACAGTGACAACTGACAAATGCCTCTATAGTCCTGGTGCTTCTGGACCAGACACTTCACCAACCTTCTAGGACAGCACTATACTCCAACCACAGATGTGACGCGATGGTACAGTGTTGCTATCTCACAAACGAAAATGCCAATGCAACGCAATCTCTGCCAGAAATAAAAGAAATGAAGAGAAATTTAAGTGTACCTGCGACGTTGATGTTCTCGATGATGTAGAGGACGTTGTCCTCGTTGATCTCCCCCTTCTGCTCCGCCTCCAGGATGTGATCAATGGCGCACTTGAGCCCACCGTTGTCTTCCACGGCCTTGGTGCTCACCAGCTTCCTGCACACACACAAGCAGGCACGCACAAGGGGCCTCAACATATCAGCAAATCTATCATGCCATCCCCATGATTTCTCATGGTTGGCCTTTCGCTTTCAGCCAAATGGCCCAGCTAATCATGGAAAGTTAGGAAGACATGGATCAAGAAAGATGTCTCAATTAATTAAGACTAGTGGAGAGCTTACTTCCTCTCGTCCAGGAAGTAATCCTTGAAGAGCTTGAGGCGGGTCTCCTTGACCTCCTTGCAGAGCCGGAGGTAGCCGCGGAGGAAGGGGCGGAGGACGGGGATGAAGTCGCCGTAGTTGTACTCGAAGCTCTGCGCGAGGCGGCTGCGCTCGCCGTTGAGCGCCCGGAGGCGGAGGAACAGCGGGTCGTCCATGCTCTCGAACCGCCGGTCGAACATGATGCGGTACATGTTGTTGTACATCATGAGCTGCAGGTGGCGGCGGAGCACGACGCCATCGGTGGCGGCCCTGGGGTCGGCGCGGACGTTGTCCACCACGAAGGCCGCCTCGGCCTCCCACCCGGGCCGGTACTGCTGCACCACCTTGTTGGTGAAGAAGGGCACGGTCATGATGCGCCGCATCTTGCGCCAGTGGTCGCCGTACACGGTGAACACCATGTCCTGGCCCTCGCCGGTGAAGATGTCGAACACCACGTTGCGGGTGCGGGACCCGAACTCCACGCCCTGCGTGTGGAGCACCTCGCGGGCCAGCGGCGGGGAGGAGACCACCACCAGGTTGCGCTGGCCCATGCGGAGGAGGAAGACCTCGCCGAACTTGCGCGCCATCGCCGCCAGGTTGCGGTGGTTCAGGTCGTCGCCGACCTGCAGCCAGTTGCCGAAGATGGGCACCGGGAAGGGGCCCGGCGGCAGCCGCAGCTTGCGGCCCCGGATCTTGGACACGACGATGGCGCCCACCACGGCCGCGAGGAGGCCCACGAGGAGCTTCTCCACGAAGACGAAGTCCATGGCGCCGGCCGGGGCGGGAACGGCCCGGGAACTGCTGCCGCTCTGTTGTGTGTTGGCGCTCTGGAACGGTTGCGGTTGGGTTGTTGTGTTTTGTCCCTGGGGGATGACCGTGCCACCGTGCGCTTAAATAAGGACGGGCGCGGCAGAGTTGGAGTAGCCGGCCGCCGTTAGAGTTGACGGCGGCGGGTAGGTAGGGAGGCAGACGGAGTGAGTTTGGTGAGAGGAGAGGAGAGGAGAGGCTCTGCCGTCCTTTCTTGGTCGAGATCACTCCTACTCACTTTCGCCTCTGCCTTCTCCGGTCGGTGTTGACAAGGGAAAAGGTGCGACTCCCGCCGATCCATATTAATTTTATCACAGATTTAATACAACTTTGTACTAAGTCTAATTTAGTGCGGAAGGAGTAGTGCGTATAATTGGTGTAGTCAAAACATTTTCTTTTTTGCGGGGAAGTGGAACTATATAACGCACATATGTTCGACACTTCCTAAAAAATATGAAAAATAGCTACCACGATTATGTACAAACAGACCAATAGGTAATCAAAGTGATTGAATGGTTGAAGTGCAATGATACTTTCAACCCACTAGGAATCAAGCCCTAGTTCAATGTTTTGGCGTTTCACTAATACTCCCTTCACATGTAAATATGAGATGTTTTAAATATTTCAGCATAGACTACATATAAACTGCAATGATCGAACAAACACACTAAGGCCTCCTTTGGTTTGGAGGAATTTCATAAGAATTCTAGAGGATAGAATTCTTATAAGATTTTTTTCTTTAGAGCCCTTTGGTTCGTAGGAATAGATTTCTATTCCTACATAGGATTGGTTCCTATCCTCCACTTCATAGAAAAATAAAAATGAGCCTAGACTCAATGGAAAAATTCCTTTGGTGTCAACCAAATAACATCTCATTTCTTATTTCTACTCATAGGATTTGGGATACATGCCATCTCATTTCCTATAAAATTCCTATTTCTATGATAATCCTATCCTATGAACCAAAAAAGACCTAATTTTTGCCCTAAAAAAGGCCTAATTTTTTCTATATACATTTGTTTTTAAAAAAGGTTAAAACATATTATATTTGTGGAGGAGGGAATACAAAATATTTTTCAGTAAGAAACAACAACGTCGTTAGTAAGACGCCTATGATGGCTTCATCAATCTCGATACCTTGCAACTTTGATTCGGTCGCAAACCAACTTGTGGTTGGATGATTAGGAGGACAGTGATATACTCAGCTCATCGGGGTTTAAATCATGGTTCTCGTTTTTATCCTGAATTTATTTCAGAATTTTCGACGATGCACGTTCAGTGAAAAAAGACGTTCCGTCATAAAATTTTAAAATAATATGAACGTTTGCGTTTGTACTGTGTTAAAAAAATACGATCCGGTCTTCAATGGTAGTGTGTGAGTGCACGTGTGTGATGATGCGAGTGTGTATGTCTACGTTATAATCATTCAATGTTTAAGAAACGATTCGATTAAATAACAAAGAGCAGCACGGACGTAAAACATTGTTTGACTTTGTCCAACAGAGCACGTGCAAAAGAACCACGAGTGGTGACGGCGTTAGGTGAGTCGGGGACCGCGGCCCGCAGGCAGTGTCTGATCTCATGGCGCTCCTGCGCAATGGGTGGTCTGAACTTTGAAGGGTGGGTGTGGCGGGTGCGCAGGCGTGCGCTTGCGTGGAGGCTTCTGCGGCCGCAATGTCTTCGGGGTGTTTGTTGAGCGGAGAGAAAAAACGCAGGATTCGCTGGTGGTGCTCTGGGTAGGTGAGGTTTAGGGAGTTGATTTTTGACCATTTCCCCCGCATGTTTGGTGCATCTATCCTGCAAGCCTTTTTTTTTAACTTTTCTCTACTCCTAATGTCTCAATTGATAGGTCGCGTTTCGGATTTTATTTTTGTCTCACCTTATCCGGTCTTTTTTGATACTTCTTTGGTACTTGCTCCCACCTCCCGCTCAGCCGAGACGGTTTATTTTTGATGGTTTATTTTCGTCATCCTCCCACCTCTGTTGTTTTTCGTCCCTGGGATCGATCCCTCGTGCCCTCGATGCGCTCGATGCGCTTGCCCGCACGAACGTGGTTCCGTCCCTCCCCGCCTCCAGCCTCCTAGCCACCCCTCGTCTCCCCGCCTCCAGCCGCACCCGCCGCCGCACCCCAATCCCCGATCTGGCTCTCCACCTCACGACGACGCCGTTGCCCTCTCCGTCCTCCTCCACAAGACGTCACCATCGCCGCCCCTCCTTCGTGATTCGGCCATGGCCACCACCGACGCCCTCCTCTCCACCGCTGCCGCCAACCCTCAACCTCCATCGATCTCCTCCTAAGGGAGACCTCCACCGTCACCGTTCTTCTTCCTCCCCGACCTCCCGTCGTCGTTCTCCACGGATCTGGCCGTGGCCACAACCGATGCTGTCGGTTCCATGGAGGAGCTCACCTCGGCCTTCTCCACGGATCTGGTTGATCTGAAGGCGGGCGGCGAGGTGGGGCTCACCGAGCGAGGTATCCAGGCGGGGGTCGTCGGTGACGACGATGAAGGCCGGATTGAGGGATCCAGCGACCTAGGCAGGAGCTCCCCGGACCTGAGCGACGGCGGACGGGCGCGTGAGACGGAGTGATCTGGTGCGGCGATGTGAATTCCTTGCAGGTAGAGGCGGGTCTCCATGGCTGGCAGGGAGAGCTCCAAGCCATGGCGGGGCTTTAGTTTTCCCTGGTAGAAAAGAGAGAAAGAGGAAGATTCAGGGAGGAGGAGAGGTAGAGAGAAGAAGGTGCAGGTGCGAGCTTGGGGAAGAGGGAGCCTAACATGTGCGTACATCCATGCTCCTTTTCTTCTTTCAGTTTTAGGTACTTTCCAGCAGGCGTGTACATCCTTGTTCCTTCTCTTCTTTCGATTTTAGCTACTCTCCAGTATTCAATTCTGTCAGCAGTTCTCAAGTAAATGAACCGTAGAGAATCAGCTAGATATTTTACTACTGTAAGCTGTGGAGTACTGAGAATGGCATTTATATTGCTGCAAATGCAATATATGATTTATGCAACAGAGAGGATGCCGCAAGGGGAGAGGAATGGTGCAGTGAGATTGAGGAAGACAGGACACATCGGGACCCGGGAGCTCGAGAAGAGGCTCAATCGATCTCGACAAGAAGTGATCTCCCCTTGGTGACAGTACTAGATGGCCTCTCTAGGCTCCTGTCATAGACCTTGGTATGTGTATATATTTCATTTCTTCAACGGTTTATTGATGCACGAGTAAGCTTGCAAAGCGATCTGGGTATGTGGATAGTTTTCACTTCTTCAACGGTTCATTGATGCAGGAGTAAGCTTGCGACCAAGGTATGTGAATAGATTTCACTTCTTCAACGGTTCATTGATGCACGAGTAAGCTTACGACCTGGGTATGTGGATAGATTTCACTTCTTCAACGGTTCATTGATGCACGAGTAAGCTTGCAAAGCGGCATCCTGCTTATCTAGCTTTCTGTCCACTGTTGTCCATGCAACTGGTAATGACTGTGCAAGAGCCAAGCTTTAATTTTTTTATACATCCCGCCTCTAATCCCTGGCTATTAATTATATATTTAAGCAAACACAAGATGACGAGACATCATTTAATTTTAAGATAATCAATAAATTATTGAAACTAAAATGGTCATATATATGATGGTTTGATCTGTCGGCCTTTTATAATTTTTTTCAGAAGCATAAAAGATATAAGAATCTCATCTCCTTATGGCGTAACGACAGAGGGCTTGGCTGCTACCAGGGTGATCCAAAGGGTGTATCTAGGTAGCATGTTTGTGGCCTCTTGCACTAACATGATTAATGGTAGCTTCTATTCCATGACATGATTTTTGCAGCTGTAACAATATGTTTCATGCAAGAGGACATAAATTTGCATCCTATTTTTCTGTCCAGTTAGTTCCAAATTACAAATGTTTGTGCTATCACTGACAATTTGGTGGAAAAAAATGAGTCGTATATACACCCAGTGTAAGCTTTCACATCAGCCGTTGCTCTTGATTGTCTTTGCAAGTCCATAGATATAATTTCTTATGATTTTCCTTTACTCATAGTAAGTACTGAATATTTTGTGCTTCAACCCTTTAGGTGTTAATTTCTATGATGTGGCTAGCAAAGTTGGCAACAGGTACAGTATAACGATCATGATCTGCAGAGGGATATCATCTAGGTGCATAAATCATAATCATTCTGTTTTTATTTGGCAAGCTGGAGCTACCTGGAACTTTCAATTTTGGTGCCAAGATGGATGGATTCAACTGGGTGACCCATAGTCAGGTATTGTTCAGTTATCCTGAGGGTAATGTGGATATGTTCTATTTGAGATCAAGCTTGGTATTGCTAGAAAATATATATGTCATGTGCACTGAGATTTCAACTATATAATATCAGTGATAAAACACGCCGTTTCCCTTGCTATTCATGATCACTTGAACTAGCTTACCGTTTAATAATATTTCTATCTTGCATCATGAGTGTTGTTCAGTGGCAATATTCGCTCCGCCGAAGGTAATAGCGATGCACCTTTGCTAAGAAGGTTCTTTCCTGTTCAATGCAATGACAAGACGCTGAAACATCATGGTGTCCCTGCTAAAGGATAATGATTCACCCCCTGGCTTCTTATTGTTGTATCATCTTGGCAGGGCGTGGCCGCGGCTGCGGCGCGGGCAACAAGGACGAGCGCCGCAAGGGAGCCGATGGGCGTGGGCATGAACCGGGGAGAGGAGACCATGGCGGAGGAGATGAGAGAAGGCCACTGTCTTCTTCTCCCCCCTCTCCGACCAGAAACCCCTATCTATCCATCCGACGAGAGAAGACTGCAGGCGGAGGAGAGGAGACGCGGGTGAGGTAAGAGGAGCCAAATCCCCATCATGCTCCTCCCCGCGCGCCGCCGACCCACCAGCGGCATTCTTTCTGGTGTGCTAGGTAACCGAATCCACCTACCCCTACCCGTACCTTTTTGGGGGGATTT